TTATTTCTAAGTTGAATAACCTAGTCACGAACCCAAAGAAGAGAAAAGTAGAAGTGTCATATGTTTGTGTATATTCAATGGCAAAGTTTGACTTTGTTTCTAAGTTGAATAGTCTGGCTTTGCGCCTTATGCAAACTGGGTAAAAATACATAAATTATTGAGGAATTATGAATTATTGTTGCCAAGGTTTAATCTTGGGATTCGGTGAGAGTACTTACCATTGTGGTATGACTTTTCTGAGACTGAGTAAGTACTTTGTCTTATTCTAAGTCCTGTTTTGATAGGTAGTTGTTTTAAATGCTCGCCACGTGCTAGAGATGTAGGAGTTAGTTCAATTCCTGCATTTTCGAAGTTAACTTTATTTTACTTAGTTCAATTTTCGCATTTTCTTGAATCATTTATTTTATTTGGCTTTGTAAAAATTTTGGAAATTTGTTTTCTCTAAGGGAAACGCTGTCAAAATTTATACAAAACCAATGAATTAGACAAATTTTAACTTTTCAAAGTTCAACTTTCCTTAAGTTTTATATTGGGCTTAGTAAAAATTTGGAAAAAAAAAAAAAATCTAGGAAAAGGGTCACCCAATTTTTTTTTAATGCAAGGAGTTAGACAAATTTTGACTTAGGAAGCCAGAATCGTTTTTAGATTCAGTATTTAGCTTTGTAGAAATTGTGGAGTAAAACTTCTTTAGAGAGAGGGTTGTTGAAATTTCTACAAACCTAATCAGTTAGTTAGATTTTATCTTGATAGGAACTCGAGTTTCATTTTGAGTTCGTTTTTGACTTGGCATAAATTTGGGAAGCCTACTTCTCTAAAGGATATGCTGCCCAGATTTCTACTAATTCACCGAAATTTTTACAAATCTAAGGAGTCGGTTAAATTTTGTCTTGACAAGAACTCGAGTTTTATTTAAAGTTTTTATTTGACTTAGTATAAATATGGGAAGCCTACTTCTCTAAAGGAGATGTTGCCTTAACTTTTATTAATTCAGGTAGTTAGGTAAAAATTTACCCTTTAGAGTCGATGATTTTTTCAACTTTCATATTCAGAGGAGTATAAATTATGAAAAGACACTTTTCCTACGGGAAGCGCTGCCGAAATTTTCTTAGTTTAAATAAGTTACTATATTTTGATATGAAAGATTATGGTCATCCACCCTGTATAGGGGAGATGCTGCCAAAGGTTTTCCTTTCTTTTAGCACTTGTTTAGTGGTAGATTTAGGCTTAGTTATCGGGAGGTTTTTGAATGAAACGCGATATGGAGGTTCGCTCTTCATGGACTTATAGTCTAACCTTAAAATTGGTTCGTCTTGTGTTACAGGTACTCTTTGATCATTTCGATTGAGGATTTGATTAGTTTCAGCTTCATCCTATGAGGATCATCTTTTGTTATCACTAATAATAGGTCGGTTGCTGATTCGTCGGTTTACGACTTAACTGTAATTCACCCTCGTCACTCAATCCAAAAAATTTAACCCCCGTGGTTTGAATTGATTCTTTGGGTTTTCACCTGGACTTTATTGAATGGTCATTCAACAAAGATACTTCCTTCCCTGGAACGACACAGGATCGAACCGGTACCTCCTTCCCAACATCTTACAGAGCACACTGGTACCTGGCTCATTTCCAGCTCTGACCAACTACCGCTGGTCCAATTCCGAAAACAGCTTCAGTTCCTGGCCGATCCCCCGCACCTACCCTCCTACCACCGGCCACACTAAGTACCTGGTCCTACTTCAACCATATGGTATTCCCTGGTTCCGACACACCGTGAAAACCACATACACGAAGAAAAACAGTCAATGTGAAAAAAACAAACAACAACTACTCAGAAGTGCACCGTAACATCCCTCTATTCAGCGTAAAGGGCATTCCCTGGTTCCAACAAATCGTGAAAACCACATACAAGAACAACAGTCAATGCGAAAACAATCAATATGCAAAACAACAACTACTCAGAAGTGCAACGTGACGTCCCTCTGCCCCATCCTACCCAACGCTCATACCCGAATTCTTCTCAGTCAACAAAGGAAAATCAATAAACCGAAAACTATTGCAAGTACAACTAGCTACAGTTCAAGCAAACATCAGAATCAACATGACATCCCTCCGTTCCATCCTACAGACAGTCGAATCTACTATTTTTTCAGCAAATCAGTCGACTGTAAGTGAGCAGAACCGAAAACATTTTCCACATTGGATCCTTATCTCTGCTGAAATTCCTAAGTGCACGGCCAAACCAATCTGCTGGGTAGTCAAGCCTCCTCATCTCAACCCTCATCAGAACTAAGACTTCCACAATCTCTATGCACATGGTCGAATTCTTATATATCTGATGCAAAGTGCTAATAATGATTGTCATTTTCACACGTTTACATGTCCATGAGTGGAAGTTCTGGAAGGTTTGAAATGGAAGTACCGCACCACTCCTCAGCTCAGCTTCATTCTTCATTGTCTGTACCGTACCCAGGAACGGGAAATCTTTCCGGATCCTCAACCTGCATCCTAGAAAGTTCCACTCGCTCTCCCCCTCATCCGTCCTCTTCAGAGTCAGAGCATCATCGTAGCATTTTTCAAACTTACTGATGATCCCCAACGCCACCTTCTTTGCGTCGGGTCTTCGAGGGTTAAATGCCGCGAAGATTGATGCGTCGTCCACAAACCTGAGGCCTCCAACAAGTCTCCTCTGATTCCCCAAGGATACGAGGAAATCACTCTCACTTTTCGCACACATTAAACATGCCAATGGGGGACTTGAGCTCTTTCCCATTGGTATGCCAATGACTTGCCTCATGAGGATTCCGCACAGTTTCGTAAAACAGAATTCCAATTCAAAAAGAACAAAATTCCTAATATATTCAAAATCAATTCGTTCAAAACCCTCCATGGTACGACTCTTGCTCAACTTCGCTCCTCTTCCCCGTTTTTTCACAAACACCCAATCAAACCCTTTCTCTCTGCACCACCAAATTACCCAATCAACTGCTTTCTTAATCGTGGCATGCGGGAGACGATTAAACATCTCCGTAATATCGTATGAGGCTCCCACAATTTGTACATCCCTACTACTTCTTACTAGTCTTTGGTTAATACTCTTTAACATTTGCTTCATCTGAGAAACAGATCTCAGATTAAGGTGACTGGAATCAGGAAGCGAAAACAACATGCAATTAACGGTCTGGGCAACTTTCTTACAGGCCTTAATCGCCGGCTCGCTGAATGTCGGTCAGATCGGTCGGAATTTTGTTGTGTCCTTATGCTTCGGTAGAGTATAAGCACACCCAATCTTGCCCCATCCATCCCACTTACCATGCACACCCAACCCGCGATTCTGGTATTCTACCCTTGCTGCCTCCAGTTGTTCGCCCTCCTCGAGTTCACACAGTCTGTAGCTACTATTCTCGAAGAACTGTCCTCGATACCTTTGGCATACAGCATGGGACACATCACGAGAGTGTCACCCGGATTCCTGTCCAACGGCACTATCACTAAACCTTCGAACCGCTTTTTCACCATCTGCACGTCCTTCAAACTCCCTTCGCAACCACCAGTTCCTTCCTTGGCAAAACAGCCGTCGATTTCCTCGACACTAAATTTAACTCCGCAGGGGTGTCCCATGTCTCCTTCCCATTCCCGAAATGCTTCCTCCAGTTCGGTTCTCAACGTTCCCCCTCTATACTCCTCCTCGTGTCTAGGTACGTTTTTTGCATTCCTCACTATATCCGGGACCCAGTCTAGATCACCAATTCGGAAGTGCACGTGCCCGTTCATTCTGGGGTAGGGCATTCCAGCGCAGGTACAACTACAAGCACGTCGCGACGCAAAGCGTCGGTGATTGTGGATTAAGTCGCCAACACTCGGGCACTTTGTCCAAACAACCCGTGCTCGTCTCTTCACCATCTCCCTCATTGGCCTTACCAACTGCAGTCCTTCAACTTTCTTCCTCACTAACCTCGTTATTTCACTCTTCTTGATCCTAGAATCAAATTTTATCTTCGCCACGATCCTTTTCCTCACACTCAATCCATGCGCATCCTTAATTGCTCGTGAAATCGTAGTCCTAGCTTTAACTCTACTCCTCTTCGCTGTGAAGGATTTGATAGCACTATAGTACTTCAGTAGTTCCACCAGCCCTCTTCTTTTTAATCCCGACTTCTTCCTCCTATTCTTGAACATGGAGATCATCTCATCCCTCAATCTCAAGATCGCAGGAGAGGCTTTCGTAATCCTCCGAATTATAACCGTCCCTTCTTGTTCGAACAAACCTTTGCATTTTCTAAGTGGCCGCATCCCCCTTCCAACCTTCACCCTCGTTTCCCCAAACAACCTTCGTACTACCCTCCATCCATCGGCCCAGGTGTCACCACCCTTACATTGGAGTACGACATCCCCCTTCTCTTTCTTTCGAACATTCTCTCTCAACAATTGAACGATCTTTACGGTTTCACTCCCCGAACCTTGATGACATACCGCCACAATCCTACCAGCGGATCTAGTAGTCTCCTTTCTCACCGTTCCATGGGTCCCATTCTCCTTCCTCCGTTCCTTCTTACCCCGTCTTCTTCGTGTCTTATTGAAACTTCTCTTGCTATTGCCCGGCTTCGAATTAAGCGATGGAGACCATCGCTTAATCAAAGTCCTTTCCACTGCTTCAAGTTCGACGCTAGACGTACTAGTGTACACTGGAATCGCGACATACTTGTGCGCTCCAACCTTACCCAACCAGTTGTATAATCGCCTTTCCCCTCTTTCCTCCACCACGCCTGCCTTGACAGAAATGTTCCCTCCATCTCGCCCACAGGTCCCTTTCCGTCATCCCAATGTATACCTGTTTGTGCCATGGCGACAATAGGACATACACACATCCCCCCGGATTCCCTAACTCGAAGCTCCCGCTATCAATCTCATCCTTCCAATAACTGACAAATTTTTCTCCCCACTTCACTTCACCGGCTAGAACTAAACTGATCACAAGAGCTCTCACAACCCGTTCAACATTCCTCTTCTTACCGCCTTTATCCAGTCTTTGCTCACATATGTCTTTGACTTTCTTCCATACATTGCGCGTTCTTCACTCAGAGTCTTCTTCGTCCTCCGAGTCGGAATCCTCCGACATACTTTCCTTCACTTCTTCCTTGCTACAGCCGATTCCCACCGATTTCCTCGAAGACTGCCGAGGTGAAGTAGGAAGCGGCAAGACTGTCGGGTCATACGCCACTACAGATCGACGAATGACCAACCTTTTGATTGCCAGCTCCCTCTTGCCATATGGCACTCGTTCTCGTCTGTAGACCTCCTTCAGTTCCTCAATCGTCAGAGCATCGTAAAAATCCCGACACTTTTGTTCAAATTTTTCTTTGCCGCCAGGTCCGCAGGAAGTTGTGATGTGCTTCAACGACAAGTCCAACTTTGTGGGTGTCTCCGAACTCTCCGCGGGTGGTTTCGAGGCACTCTTCAGCTCCTCTATCTTCTTCTTCGACTCCTCGGTAAGCCTTGGACCCGTTCTTTTCTCTGGCGTAACCATAGGTGGACTGTTTCCTATCGCCACGTCCGGTCCTCTCTTCCGTTTCTCATGTATCTCCAACTTCGCTGCCCTCCTCCGTAGCATCCTTAGTTCCTCGTTCTCTGTGTCGTCCTCTTTTGAATATTGCACCCTCAACATCCTTCTCAGTCTCTCTTTTTCCTCCTCCACTGTCTCCCCCCTCTCATTAAGTCTCGCCTTACCTTTGCCTCTCTTGTCCTTAACGGCATAGTCCTCCTGATCTTTCTTCATTTCGCCTCGTATAATCCTAAGAAGTCTTGAATCTCGTTCCTCTTCCAAACGAAACCGCTCTTCCATTTTCATCAACTTCTTTCGCTCCTTCTCTTTGCGCGCCAATTCTTCTTTCATTATTTTCTCCTCTTCTTCCTCTTTCTCCCTTTTCGCTTTCTTTTCCAGTGCTTTCTGCACGAAGTATTCCCTCATCAGACTGTTAGCTTCATCGCTGCCATGCCTACTCGAGCCTCCTTCGGCCGACCTGCTCCTCATGGTATAATCCTTCGTCATCCCCGTAAAGCGTCCAGTCCGGCCAGCTGTAGGTACGTAAGGTGTTGGTACAAAAGGGACTCCCCGAGCCCGAGCCTGCCAATACTCCGCACACTCCCGAATGAAGTGTCCCCCCTCCCCGCACTTGTAGCACTTCCTTCCGTCCCCGCCCTTTGATGCACCTTCGCCCGACCCTTGCAGGCCACTGCTTCCTTCACTTATCTTCCTAATCGCTGTCAAACCAGCTACACTTAACTTCGACGTTCAAAGCCTTTATTCCGCAGTCACGGTCTACGTCCACCACTTTGACCTCGCAACCTTGCTTACCTTATCAACACTCAGAACTTCCGTCCTCTTTCTTATCTTCCCCTTTTCCAAAACAGCCACCACCTTGTCTAGGTGTACTCTCCTAGTGGGTTATGACTTTAAGTGCAGGAAAGCATCACTGATGTACCGCATACGCAGTCAAAAGCAGCATCACCATGCACAAACCAAGCACGTGCACATGGCTCAAAAAGTTGTACGTTATCAAATTAACGAAAGAAGAAACACGTTGACGGTGGTAGTCAACCATGTCGCATTATGGCACGAGATAACGAGTAGTGTGATTCCTCCAATTCTCAATCATCGACATAATCGATGATATCACCTACTCCGACAAACCCACCTCCTCATCACACCACAGTCCAAACGGACAAAAGGATCGACTGCTCCGCTACCAATTCTATTATACTCCCGGTCTCGTCGGTTCCCGGAAGCACAGGCTGACCCGGGACATGCCAAGTACCGAAAATGTCAGTACCCGTCCGTCTCTGGAACGACACAGGATCGAACCGGTACCTCCTTCCCAA